TTATTTGTTCATACAGAATTGGGGTACAGGCCAGAGGCTCAGGGGCGGCGAGAGGCTTCACAGCGACAGAGTAGGGAGCAGAACAGGCAGATCTACGAAGTACACTGCTGAGGGGAACAGCGGGTGGGTCAGGAGAGGTCTGCCACGCCATGTGGACACCTCTGGGGCAGGCGGGAATCGAACTCATGCGGAAGTGGCTTTAGCTTCTCAGTGCTGTGCTTTCACCCGCTGCGCCACCAGGGAGGGCCTGGAATCATTTCTTTCCTCTCTAATTCTTCCAGAGCACAGCATGGAACCTCAGTTCTATGTCTTAGCATCTCAAGCCTCACATTAAATTTAGAGTATTTTTAAGTGAGAATTTATGGAGCTTTTATGTTAGACACGCCTGAGTTTAAACCAAGACTGAGTTGCGATGTACAAAGCCATAGGCAAAGAAGTTTCAACCGTTAATTTCGATGAGACATTAACTCCATTTAATGACGTAAAGGAAATAAGTTTGGGGACGTCTCATTTTATCATTCCATATCGACTACTAGCTGAGCTCCTTAGTGGGAAATTTATGTGAGATACACAATTCTTTCCTTTTAGATAATCTACAAAGTCAGGACTGTTTTGAATTGTGTGACCTCCACAATACTGGATTGAATCAAAATTACTAGGGCTAGGGTATGTTAAAATTCAAAAGCATATCATGGCTGGAAAATTTTTTTAAAGATTTATTTATTTATTCATACAGAACTGGGGTACAGGCCAGAGATGCGGAAGGTGAAAGGATTCACCAGGGGCAGAGTGGGGAGCAGAACAGGCAGATCAACAAAGTACACTGCTGAAGGGAGCAGTGGGAGGGTCAGGAGAGGTCAGTGGCACCATATGGGTCAGCTCCATGGGTGGGGATTAAACTTGCGCTGCAGTGGCTGCTATAGCTTCATAGCACTGTGTCTTAACCCTCTGTGCCATCAGAGAGGGTCCCGCAGAAATGACTTTGAAAAAAAAAAGTTTAGTTATAGTATTTCTGCTTTCTACAGTCATCATACAGAATAAAAACTATAACAACAAATATATATGCTACATTGTCTGGGCAACTGAGTAACTCTGCAAAGAAAACTTCTATGCCAATAAAATAATACAGAATTGAGGAAAATAAAATATTTGAAAACTATGTTCTGCACAATGACTGTGCGATGGTTTTCTCCATAAAACACACTAGCATAAAACACTTCAGTCCAGTTTCAGTGTGATGCATTTAATTCTAATCCCAAGTGTCATAAACCATTATTTTACTCTCAAATATAAACCTGCATTTAAAATCCTTTGCCTCCAATCCAATTTCTTTCAAATGCAAGGTTAGATTCAGCAAAACAAAGAGCCACCAATGCAGGTTTTGGTGGTATATGAAATTGTGAGGCAAAAATATTGCGTCTGTAAGTGTATCCCCAATGACGTCATTGGTATCGAATGAATAGGAATATAAATGTGTCTGTGTGTATGTATGCATGTATGTATGTCTCTCTCTAGATCCTTTTCTACGTTGATATTCATGTTTAAATTGTGCATTTATATAGCTTTTATAGTGATGCCCACTGTTACCTTATCTTTTTGACTGACAATGATGGGATTTCAGTCATGCTCAGCCTTTCCGACAGTGCCAGTGATGGGATTTTTTGAAATCTTATTACTGGTTGCACTGCCCTGATCTCAGATGGAACTTTCAATCAAAAAGGCAATCAGAAGGTTATATATTTGTGAGTTTCCCTGCAAAGCCAGCGATCGCATAATACAACTTGTTGGAAGGGCCCACTTGTTCTGTCCTTATGTGGCTATAAAGAATAATTGGCTACTTAGCTCTCAGCACCCGATTTTCCTTCTCCAAAATACAGCAGAGCCCAGAACTCTGTTGCGTCTCAGTGTGGAATCTGGCTGCTCCTAGGAGATTTCCAAGTCTCATGCAGAGATTTGTCTTACTTTAAGCATCTGATTAAGCAAACCCTCCCAAAGACACAGTTGGCTCTTTCAAAGCATTCTTGTTTCACTGGTCATGCCAGTGAATCTAAGTTTTCTTCTATTTTATGTAGACACAAACACCCACACATTTTTTCCGTAACATTTTTCCCATAACGTTTGAATTACGTTCTAGTATATTTTAACCAGCCTATTATAAACTATTTTTAGTCTTTTAAAAATAGAACTCATACAAGATTATTGTAAGGAATAGTCTTTCATACCCTAAGGTGGACATATGCAGCTGTTCAATAGATATATTTGTAATTTGATATCATCAAATAGTGAGCAGGTTTGAAGCTGAATTGGGCCCAGGTGGTAGCTAGTCACCCAAGGGGACATCAGTTCTGCAGATCAGAACCTTGAATTGTAAGGAAAGCTGAAGTAAAAAGTCTTTTTCTCAGTTGGCTGCAACTCAACTGCTTTTCTCCATTGGGCAGAAAACCCTTGGGCAGGAGTAAGTTTCAAGAACAGAAAGAAACAATGCTTGACACAATAAAGACCTACAAATACATTAAAAAGCTTGTGGACTGAATGCACATTTTATTTGAAAAAATAACTACCTATATGTAAGACATATGTAAGTATCGCTCCAATAGAAAGCAAAGCACAGAGACAAAAATAGTCACTTTGAGAGAGTTAAAAAATGTATCATTTGAAGCATTGAGCATGAGGTAGTCAAGTTCAAAAATAAGATTCTGATAAAGGAAAATCTGGCAAATCTATTGCTAAAGTAAAAAGGACTTCAGGTAACATGTGTGTGTGTGTGTGTGTCTGTGTATTTTCTTCAGATCTTTATTTAAATTCAGGGTATGCTAAAAGTAAAGTTCAGCTCTAGTATAAACATGGTACTATTTACTCGATACCCTATTATGAAAGCTTCGGTGGGCATTGAAGCACAAAACACTAGCTTGGTGGTTGCAAAGGAACTCAACAAGAGACTTACACTTTCATGCTGTCTTTTCTGGGCAAAGCAAATTTTTTTTAAAGATTTGCTTATTTATGCATACATAACTGGTGTACAGGCCAGAGGTGCAGGGGCAGTGAGAGGATTCACCAGAGACAGAGTGGGGAGCAGAACAGGCTGACTGAGGAAGTACACTGGTGAGGGGAGCAGTAGGGAGACAGGAGTGGTCTGCTGTGCCATGTGGGTCAGCTCCCTGGCCTGGGATCAAACTCATGCTGAAGTGGCTTTAGCTTCTTAGTGTCTTGCTTTAACCTGCTGTGCCACCAGGGAGGGCCTTGGGCAATGCAAATTTTGAGGGAAGATTTGGACAACTGTTATGCCAGATATCACCTCTTACCCAGAGAAAACACTATGAAAATTGTCTCATTCGTTGCTAAGATGGGAGCACATGGATTTCCTCTTCCTAAAAAATAATGTAACATTTCTCCTAGGCATGTTTGTGTATCTAGCCTATGGCATAGTACACTACTACATAGTATAAATTGTGAAGAAATAAGTAAAAATGTAATAATACCTCACCTTGGTTTAGAATGTCTAGAATGTGTCAGATAGAATAGTACTATAACTACAATGGCTATTCATAATCTACATTCACTAAGTAAGCATTGGTTTAAGACTTTATGCCAAAACCTGGGGACCTTTACATTTAATTTGAACCATCACTTTGGTCTCAAGAAAAAAGTACTCAATAATCATAGTGATAAGTATTGAAGATCACTTGTTCTCAAGCACAGGGACTCAGTAAGGACACTTAAATCTCTGCTGAATATTGATTGAGTGGAAAACTCAGACAGCATGTTTCTGTCACTGTGAGACCTGTTCCCAAGTTGGAGCCTTCAGCCCTCTGCTCTTATGAAGCTGTCCCAAGTCAATGACTGAGATGGCAACTATGTGTGCCTGATAAGAGACTTTTCTGAAAAGCAGTCATGCTTCAGACCCCCTTCTTGGTTGGTCTATGCTATAAATGAAGGCTTCCTTGCCCAACCCTGCTTTCTGATCTCTGCTTTTATAAGTTTTAGATTTGCCCCCCAGTCTGAAGACTTTCCCTGCTCAATCTTGCTTCCTCTTTTATCCTTGACTCTGACTTTGCTTCAGCATCTGTGTTCAACTGACACCAGTGGGCAGCCTTCATGTACAACCATGTTCTTTTAATGTACCTGCTGGCATCATGCTTGCTGTGTGACCATTGCCAAGCCATTTCTTTTCCTTGATTCTTTACAGCAAACATTGATACAGATGAAATTGCGTTTGGGATGGTTCGCTTGAACATTGTAGGATTCTAGTGAGAGTTGATGACAGTTCAGACTCTTCGTGTGATTGGAAAGAAAAGTGATGACAACCAACATATTTATAAAAATATATTTCACAAAGTAGGAAACAATACAGGAGTTTCTCTGAATACAATACATGGAGTAAATAAACAATATTGCATTAAAGCAAAGTAGAAAATTAAAATGATCTGCATGTAGTACTTGAGTTTATCATACAATTTCTACTCCTAAGTGGCAGGTTGGCATTACGAATCGAATATGCTCACGTCTTCTAGTGCTGTTCTCTTTTGGAGTCTAAGACATTCTGTGAATCACCATGAAGCTCAGGGAGAGGAGTACTAAAAACAGAGGCAGTAAAATTATGTACAAATCAGTTCCTGTTCTGAAACAGTGAGGACAACTTGAAGCATGTTTATGGGACAGGGCATGATGAAAGTATCTAAAAGCCTAGAATTTAAATATTCACATGAATCAATATACTTTCAGATGTTTGTGCTTGTAGTAAAAACACCAAATACAGGATTATGAATAAAATAGAAAACGGTCCAAAAGTTTCTCTGGGAAAATGCTGTTCCTGCCATCACCAGTCACAATAACACTTTCTACTCTAAAGAGACTATTAGCTCCCCTTTTGATAATATTGCCTGCCATACTCAGCTCATCAAAATGTACATGTATTAAACATTCATTGTATATATATATATATATATATATATTTATATAAAACAATCTAAAGGATTATTAATGGATATAATTTTGTTTTTTTTTCCCCATAGAGTCCCTTATCTATAGATTACCAACCTTAATAAATAAAAGCATTAATGGACATCAATAAAATATTTATTTCGAGGATTAAACAAATAAATTCACGCGCTAGCAATAAAACCATCTGTCTTTTATGTGGTCCACTGTGTGGTACAGTTAATCTTTGTGTCCTCGTGGAAGAAGATGAAGCGGAGGGAATGGGTAATCCTGCTTCCGGAAAGCAAGCCTGTTGAGATGGGACTATTCTCTTACCACTAGTTGGCAATCCCACTCTGGCATGGATTACAAACGTGAATATTTTAAGGCTCGACACAATATTTAAAGATGCTCTTCAGTCTCTGATGAGCGGGGCCAACAATTATGTACAATGGGTGGTCACCGTACCGCATTATCTAGGAGGCCGCCTACAACTCCAAATGTGAGAAAGTACAGCAGACCGAGTATTGCTTTATCATGTGTGGCGGGATCCTTATTGGCGAAGGGGAAAAAACCATTTGCATTTATAAAAATCCTTGCAGAAGACACAGATCAGCAGCAAATTCCTTGCAGGTCCATTTTTCTAAGAAAGCACCTTTTAATTTTGATTTTTTCCTCTTTTGCAACCACTTCTCTAAAGATTCATCAGGATCCCAATCTTTGTCTGTGGTGGTCAGATAAATATCAAATATCCAAAGACTTCTAGACACTCCACATACTTTAATTCACACTCCACAAGATTTATAACCTCCTAACAAATACTTTTAATTTTTATTGGTAATTTTTTGGTTCAACATTAAAATGTAGTTGAGTTTATAGATGACTGGTGCTAAACTTGCCTCTAAAACAAAGAGCCACATTTTGCTTGTATCTAAGGGGAGTAACCCTAGAATATTACAGAATGCTCAGTTCCTTGATGTATGTATAATCCACTGTCAAGTTTCTTTGTCACTTTCACCAACAGAGTAGAGTTCACCCAGCCTCTTAAAGCGGGGACCCCAGTCACTGAGGTAGTCAAAATTCTGGTCTGAGTCTGAGGTGGTGGACTCCAGGGAACTGAGGGACCCAGCCACAGACCCTCGGCCTTCATAGCCATAAATCTGGATGGAGTCATAGGGCGGGGCCGTGGGGTCATTATCAGCCTCATGGAGCCGCACGTTAATAAATTCATCAACATCGACCCCATTCGGAACCGGAGCGAGCCCTTGTCTGGGCATAAACTGCAAATCTGGTTTAATATCCTTACGGGGTAAAAATCCATTAATTCCATCAGGGTTCTGTAAAGTTGCAATGTCAAAGGCCTCCGTGTCTTCCTCCCCGCCTCCTTCGTCATCATAGCGGATGATGTTTTCTCGGACGTCTTCATCGTCTTTGATAATCAATGGCTCGTTTTTATGTCGCCGCAGAGTTACAAACAGCACCACGATGACTGTAGGAAAAACACAAAATAATCAATAGCTGGCTAGCACTCCCTTTCACAAGCACACGCTGTGTATGTGTATGGTGAACAATAGGGACGTTATTTCAAAGTTCAGAGCAGACAGCGTTATGACACCTACTTGTGAATGAAGCTGAACACCTTTTTGCAGGATGAGCATGGAGTTTTGAGAGAGTGCTGTTTTCCAGGTTGCTTCTGTTTGTTATCTGGTGCTGAAACTGGGTTAGAAGAATGCATTCGCATGAATCCCCAGTGCAAGCTATACTTAATGCTGCTCTAGGGTGAATGGCACACCGTGGAAAACAGCACAGAGCGGAAGCGAACTTGCTGGGTATCTTGCAAGTATCTTTTCTTCTAAAAAGAAAAAAGGAGCAGAACAGATCCTAGCTAGTATATTCCATCTTTTGTCTATTCTTCAAGACTCCCTCCAAATAATGTTCATTCATAGATGAAGTGATGGATCTAGATGTCAAATTTGCGTGGCAATTTTTGTCTTCTTTCAAGTCAGGGTTGGCTCTGAGAAAGTAGATGAACGGTGAGTAAAGGGATAGGAGCTTGCACCCAACTAGCCAAATCGCTCAAATAAAACCTGGGTTCATGGGGTTAAATATGTCAGGAAATGTTGCTCCACTCAGGACATTGGGTGAGCATAATTATGTCCTTTGGAAAGTAGAAACTGACATTAACTTGATTCTAAGGTGTTTTATTGCCTAAGAGCAGGATGAGATATAAATATTCTTTTGTATATCTTTCCACTGTCTAATCTCATTTTATAATTGGATTTTTTAATGGGAAAGTTACAGAAGCCTTCTTTCACTTGCCGTCTTCATTTTAATTTGGTTTTCGTATCAAGAAAAATATCGGAAGCACACAGTATAATTCGATGGGAAGTATATATTTTTGGTTTGCTCATTTCTTTTCTCTTTTTAATCTCACCAAACTTTGTGATTTGGAGGAACTCAGCCAAACAATCTACGTATTGTTTAGAGGAAAGGTATTTTGGACATCTTAAGTACCTGATTGACATAAGCTGGTGTGCAGGGTAAGAGCTAGAGTTTGGGAGTTTGCCTTATAGAACAGATGCTCTTGCAGCCACATAAAGGTCCATCCCCATTTCCACCACCTCTTTGCTTTGTATTTTCACTGGTGATGAGATTTAAAAAGGCACCAAACGGTCCTCTCAAATTGGACATTGATGATCACAATTTCGTTTTTCTTTTCACCTTCTCTTAGTGCCCTTAGACTGGGGGGGGGGGCAAAAAGTCCCTTCCCCCCAAAGAATATGGATACCTGGGTATCTGGTGAGGTCAAGGTTTGCTGACCTTATTTACAGTCATTTATGAACCAGAAAAATGGTGACCAGCAGGCTATGAAGGAAATACGTACCTAGCAGCAAAATGATGCATGCTAATATGGCAATTAAGGCGCCCATACTCAGTCCAATCGGAAGGACATAAGCTTCAACATTACAAGACTGGACAACACCATCACTGCTACAGCCACAGACCCGGATGGTCAGGGTGCTGGTGCTGCTCAGAGGCGGATTTCCACTATCACTGATTATGATTGGTAAAAGATAGACTTCTTGCTTCTGGCGGTTGAATCCATTATGCTTTGCCAAAATGCTGAGGGAATTATCTGGAAAAAGTGAAAATTACAATAGTTTGCATCATTTCAGAATGGCTGCCCAAACAACACTTGTTTTTCTAGTTCATAAATCCTCTGCAAACCTCAAGACACTCCCAGCTCCCCTCTTCCCCTTGCCCAGTTGACAGGGACTAAAACCATCACACCCTAACAAAGTTCAATGAATGGGGCTCCATGCTGAGTTACATGGGGTTTCACCATCACCTTGGAAATGTAAAAGGCTTCTTTTATAAACATGACCTTCAAGTGTCCTTTCAGGAGATGTAGCACCTTTGAAAGGCTAGGCTGTATGACCATAGGCATGCAGAACAACACACTTGGTGAGAATGTTCTAGGTTCTCAGGTACCTACTCATGGAGGTCTCTAAGGAGCCACTTGGGTTCTCTGACATTCACACTAGAATATAATCACAGGCCCATGTACTGCCGATTGCAGGAGATATGTCATACAGATTAAAATTCTGCAGAGAAGACCTCAAGTGGTTACACAGATAAGGATAAAATGAAAAACCACGGGAGCAGGTGTTACATATTGCTTGTGGCAGTTAATTATATGGAATTATATACTGGCTATCTGCAGAGATACTTATGGACATTGAAGCAATAATTGAACATATCGATTTAAAATAAAACTGGTCAGTGAGAAGTGACTGGTCTCACGTAAGCCCTATGGTTCTCAGTATTTCAGCCCTCGCCCCACCCACCAAAATTGTTATTATTTACCACTACCTAATAAAGTATAGTCATGTTATATATGTATAGATGCATATGTAATTAATATATTTTATTGTTTCGATTAGTGAGACTGTATGTCTATTCATAATGGAAACACTGATTATCTCACCCTGATAGTCCATTCAAAAACAACTAAATACAATTTTGGTTATTATGTGGAGGATTATTTGGGCAAAATTATTATTTTTTGTTGGAATATTGCAAAATTTGACAGAACACAGAATGGTGGGGTACCTCATTATTGCTCATTATGGCAGAGATTACAGACCATTGTTGTCTAATCCTGGTTGTTATTGTCCCATCGGTTTCTAGAATATTCAATTACCTAGTTCACTCAAAGGACTTTAAATAAATGTGGCCAATTTCTGTAACATAGAAGCTATACCAGGATTTCCAAAAGATGTATGCATTATACTTATTTTTGCTTTCCTAAAGATATAAGTGGATGTTTAATGCTTTCCTAGTAAGCAGTCAACCAGGAAAAAAAAATTCTCTGAGTTAATAAGTTTTTGAAAATCCTTCTGGTTGTGCCTCATTACTTAGTAATTTGAAGAGTAAAAAGAGATTTCTAATGGAGATAAGCAGTAATATACCAAGTGATCTAGTAATCTTTATTTCTATGATATAAAAATAGTAACCACTAAACTAAAAGTAGGCGAACATTATCTCAAAACAGATATGGAATATATAGCTGTATTATATTTTCCAGAAGTCGGTGACAAGTTTGTGTGCAGTTAATTAGTACAAGGAACATTTGTGGATGATTTCATATATATAATTTAGAAGAGATCTCAGATGGAAATGTACTTCAAAATGCAATTAATGAAATTACAAGGAGGATTTTTGGCTGACATTGTTTACATGAGATAGTTCCTTGTATATTCTATTTAAAACAATCTAGAATGATAAGAGAGAAACTTAAGGAGGAATATTAGTCATTGTAGAACAAAGCAATATTCTTTTTTGCTAAGTTTACCTGTTGCTTTCAGGACAATTGATTCCCTACTTGCTTTTTCATGTCACTTTATCAACATTTTTGATTGGTGCTTATAATTAATGCTTCACCTCAGTTAGGTGAAGCATTAGGCAAATGAAATTGTCATGATTATACACATAAAAATATCAACTATCAGCAGCTTTACACAGTTCATATTTGTGTATTTGAAAATCATACTAAAAACTTACATATTGCAAATATCTCTTACAGAGTGGTGGTTTTTTTTTTTTTTATTGCATCAAAATTTTAATATAGTCACTTATGTCAGCCTCTCTTATGATTAGTGTTTTTAACCTTGTTTAGAAGTTATTAATTACATCAAAATAATTTTTTTATCATTGCTATTCACATTTAGGCAATTGTATAGAATTGATTTTTTTTTTCTCCACTGATTATTGATTTTCCCAAGGTTAATTATAGAGTAACTTCTCCCTTGCCTACTGATCTTCAATGCTCAGTCTCACAAATCAAATTTTGGTGACTCTTCATCCTATTTGGGGCTGTTATAGTGCAACAATCTGTTTTACTACACTGAGGAGAATGAATTCCTTCATTTCCAGACCTTGCTTTATATTCCACACACATTGGTTTTGTGCATGACTGACTGTTGAAGGAGAGATCTTGATGAGTAGTTAAAGTGGACGATTAGCCTCAGGCATATGCTGTAAGTGACAATAATCCTAAAATAGGGATATAGCTGATTCCTTAATACTTGATAGGTATGTACCAAGTACACAATAAAGAAGGCTGGATTAACAATAGGTTCGTAAGCTTGCTCACTATCAAGTACCTGATATTGCTTAGTTTTCAATAGCTCATTACAGCTATGCCATGTATGAAATTTCTTTGATTCTGATAACAGATTAATTCTAAATAAAAATATTGACTTGTCTTAGTTTATGCCACTTAGTCTTTCTACAGCTCGTGTTAGAATTTTGCTAGAAGTTGTCAGAGGCTGTCTCAAAGGCAATCATCTTAAAATGAAACTCAGAATTCTTATGCAATGATCTTAGTATTAGAGAGACAAGTAGATTATATTCTAATAAAATGTGTTTATTATCTCCCTAGAGTTTTAGCTGCTTGAGGGAGGCTAGCTTTGCTCATAGCTCTATTCCTGGTCTCAGCACAGGACTAGACATTGACAGGGAAACTGAAACAACATTAGTCACATTGTTTTATTCATTTGGGATGGTTTTAGTTTTAAGGAACTGAACACTTACATTTCATTAGAAGTTTGCCAAGCACATTTGGAATTTCTGTTGGTGATTAGAGATTAATGTTTCTCCTCATGTGATTAGCTGGTCTAGCCTCTGCTTAGTTCTCTAGTTTCCTGGTTAGCCACCCGTCACTGTCCTGCCTCTATGTTCTAGCCATCCTACGATTTTCTAAGTCAAGGCTCTCTTTCTGGGGATTTTATATTTGTTCTTTCTTCTTTATAAGCTCTCTATACCTCCTTATCCCACTATAAATTGTTAATAGTTACAGGTTCTTTACCAGTGCTTAAATGCCACTTCTTTGTGGATAACTCCCTTCGCTAGATGTCCCCAATCTCTCTAGATAAATTAGTTATGTAATGTTATAAAAAGAAACAACCCGGGCCCTCCCTGGTGGCACAGCGGGTTAAAGCACAGCACAAAGAAGCTTAAGCCACTTCCGTATGAGTTCGATCCCCGCCTGCCCCGGAGGTGACCACATGGCGCGGCAGACCTCTCCTGACCCGCCCGCTGCTCCCCTCAGCAGTGTACTTCATCAATCTGCCTGTTCTGCACCCCACTCTGTCTCTGGTGAATCCTCTCACACTCCGCATCTCTGGCCTGTACCCAAGTTCTGTATGAATAAATAAATAAATCTTAAAAAAAAAGAAAAGAAAAAGAAACAACCTCCTGTACTTTCATCAAAGCACTTATTGCAAAGAAATGATAGAGTAATGGGCCTAGACACTGGGGACACAGAAATAAACTCAGGGACTTCTGAGTAGCAAATAGCCAAGTTAGGATGCATAATGAGTATTCAGTAAGTATATGCTAAATAAATGAACAATTCAGTAGTTATTAGGCATATTTTTGAGGGGCCTAGCTTTATTTTCTTGCATGATATTTTGTCCCAGGTGAATCTATGTTCAAAATCAGTGAGAAAGTTCAATTTCAGGTTACTCAAAAAGATAGGTAGCCTGGGTCCTGTGTGGAAATTTAAAAAATACTGATGGCTCCCACATCTTTGATGGCTCATATCATGCAAGATGAGATGTAAAGGATGCTTTACTCAGGACTCTAAACTCAAGTAGAGAAGGCTCAGAAAGGAAGAAACTAGTTCTAAAATGTCTGAACACCATGATGTTAAAGAGGTACACATCACATTTCTCTTTTATGTGCTTAAATCGGATGAGGTATTCCTATAGTCTGAGGTGGGGGCCATATTCTTTTAAGTATCTTCTATGGTTAATCTGATGCACATTTTTGAATTATCTGATTATTGAGTGTTTGAACCATTTGGAGTTCTTTCACAGACATTGATATTCTTATAAAAAATAACCTCCCTTTTGAAAAAAAAGAAACCAATAAATATGTGTTATGGATTAAATATGTGTTTCCCTCCCCCAATTCATGTGTGATCATTCCCAAGTGTGACTGTATTGGGAGATGGTGCCTCTAAAGAAGTATTTAATGTTAAAGGAGGTCATAGGGTGGTGTCCTGACCCTACAGAACACATATCCTTATAAGACAAGACGCTAGGGAGACCTCACTCTTTCTACCCAAATGGGCATAAAGAAGTATTTGTGTGACCATCCAGGGATATGCCACCAACAGCATTCTAGAGAAAAGACTTCTAGTGCAACATCCCTTATCTGCACCTATTCTGGGTTTCCTCAGCTCCAGAACTGTGAGAAGTAATTTTTTGTTAAATTTGCCACCTAGCCATGGTATTTTGTTTTAGCAGCGTGAAGAGACTAAGACAGTCACTAACTAATTCCGCATGCATACTGCATAATAAATAAGAAGTCTACTATAGAGAATGGCTGTGACCACCTAGATCATTAGATCATTCTCCAACTTTATGTGTTCTCCCAGAGTTTCATCTCCCAGTCCTCCTTCCTTCCATTTAATTTCTTGTAATTTAAAAGTATTGTTTTTTAAATGTCCCATAGTCTTCCCACATTGTCCTTTTTTTCCTGATAAAATGAATGAGGGAAATCTAAATTCTCTATTCCTGCAGTACAGTTCAGCAGTGCTGTTGTGTGGATGCAGAATTTTACTTCAGC